GCTCCTGCCTGGGGTCCTCTCTCCAGCTCATGGCCTCTCTAAACCCTGTGACAGCTTCCCCCTACCCTTGCAGGCCTTCAGCCATAAAGTCCCTCCTGTGGCTGCCCCAGGGCCCTGCGCCCACCCTCATGGGTTCTCGTCCCCCTTCCCCATGCATTGGTAAGTCTTCTGTGAAATCATGTCCTAACAGGAGGCCCACTCCACACTTGGGTCCTCATCTGGAAAATGTGGGTAATGTTAGCACCTGCCTCCTGCAGTTGGTGTGAGAATCCAATGAGCTATAAAACCCATAGGACAGCCCCAGACCTTACCAGGTGCTGGAAAATGCACTTTTCATCTCAACCAGGTGTTGTTATCCCAACCCAGGTGTCCCTGAGGCCCCACTGGACAGCCGGGCCGGGGTACTCACAACATGAAGTTCACTCTACTTCATGTTGGATCCAAGCATGACACTGGGGGTTTGGATAGTGACTAAGTAGCCCCTGTGCCCAGAAGGGAGCCATTCTCTATCCCAGGTCTATGTCGGCTCCATGTGAGCAGAGGAAAGTTTGAGACCTGCTCCACTCGGGGGGGTTACACACCAGCCATCCACGCGGCTCCTGGGAAGGACTCAACCAGGAAAGATGGAGCCTTAATGTATCAACGTCCATCTGGTTTCCTTTCCCTGTGGCTCTTGTGATCTCATGGAGAGCTGTAGCACCAGGGAAATGGAGCAGATACAAGACATGTTGATGTGGAGGGAGTCAGGCGGTCAGAAGTGTGAGGTTAGGTCAGTGTGCTTCAGCCGTGGGGAAGGTGGACCAGGGTGTAACACCTTTTCTAGGAGATTGAACCAAACTAAGAAGCCAAGGGCACCCTGGTTTCTTAGTTTGGTTCAATCTCCTAGAAAAGGGTGTTAATTACACTTCTGTACCCACCTCAGGTGGTTCCAGAGAGAAGGTGCTTTGGTAACCAAGGGGAACTAATTCTGCATAAGAGAATTCTCCCTAGGGAGTGTCTGACCACTTTCATTCTTTATACACCAAGACAAAGAGCTTCAAGCCTACAAGTGTTTCAAAGACCTTTGGTTTAAGGTTTAAGGTTTAAGACTTGAAAAAAATTATAGAACTCAAATTTTGGAAATAACAATATGAAACTCAATAAATGATTACTTTAGATATTCCTTCTTCATTAATTATGAAACTGAGTATACATACTAATCTCCCTACATTTGAAAACCATTTGTAAAGCTAGATTTTCTCATGTTATAAGAATTCATAAGTAGGCCCGTGATTGCCAGGAAATAATAGCTAATTGTAAGTTAAACGAGCAACTTGCAGCTAAATCATTTTCAGAACAAATTCATGGCCCTGCCCAAATGCCTCAGAACTCATCATGCCAGGTGATTGCAGATTCCAGAATTGTCTCTACCTCCGCCTTTTCTCTTTCTTGCACACCATGAGCACCAAACAGCAAAAACTGCTTTCTTTAAAGATGAAAAAATACAGAGAGTTAGGTTGAAGACCGAATCATTCTGGTTGCAGCTGCAGGGACATGGCTCCTAAGTCATAAGGTCAAATCACCATCAGCCCGTGTGTATCTTGTGGCCTTTCCCATCCTGCTTCCCGCCCGCCCTGACCCCGCCCCAGTCCCCTGCAATGAAGGGAAAGCAGCTATTGCAAACCCACACCTCACAAATGCCAGGTATTTTTTTCTTTTTCAAAGGCTCACTCTCCATCCTTGTAAAGTCTGTTTTTTAAGTGACTCTAATTGGAATAATCTCTTTTGGCTCCCTTGGTGTTGAATCCAGATGAGACCATCTGGATGGTTCCAAACCTCTAAGGATCCTCTCAGGGACCCCACCCATCTCCCTGCCTTGGAGGAGTGTTCTTTGCAGGTCTCCCTCCCTCTAGAGCTCTTTTGTTCAAACATTCCAGTCACTTGAATAGTTTATTTTACCCAACATATTAATTAATGATACTTGCAACAAGCTTGTGGTTATTAATTAAACCATGTGAGTGAGCCCCCCAAAGACAGTTAGCAGTCTGATTGAAAGCCAAACTTCCTATGGCTGTTTTTAAAAAGAAATAACTACAGGGTATGAAGAAGAAAGGCGATTCAGCTGCGGGACAGGAAGAGTCCAAATGGGCAAGGGAACAGGAAAAGTGTTCTCTTTAATGAGATGAGGCCCTCTGGCCGAGTATTAGCAATCTAGCTGTTGAGGAGCAGACGATCCAGTTTTGGCACGCAGCATGGTAGCTTAATTAGGCACTAGAACAAGTGTTGGAGGCTCTCCGGGAAAAATGATACAGAAAAGTGCCTCCCCTCCCTTACACGCTCTGTTAGTTATAAAATTAGTTTATTTTCCACCTTCTGTCTGGGCACTTGGGAGCCCGCTGGTGGTAGTCGACTTGGAGGGAGAGCTTCTGGGGCTGAGAATGACGCAGAGGAACACCCCATTGCATGTTGCGGGAGGGACAGGAACAGAGCCTCAAGATCTTGGGCTGGGGTCACATCTAACCCGCTATGTTCAGAGTCCCTGCTGGGACGGCTGGTGGGCCAGCATTTTAGGGGACGGGATTGGGGTGGACAACCACTTCCAACTCTACTGACCCAGAGGCCACTCTAAAGAATATTCTGGAAACCCAGCTTGAATTTGACTGTTCAGATGTGCATTTACCCCCCTCTGCCAGAAACAGAACTTGCATTTTGGTCATCCCCTGAGATAATATGTATGCTCAGGTGGCATCAACTAGACAAAGGCAAGTTCATGTTTCTGTGCCCAGTTCTCTTTGTTTGAACTTTAGGTCCCTCGTGGGGCATCACATCAGACCAAGGTAACTCTGAGGAGCTGGACATTTGTTGGAGGGAATGCTATTTCCAGTTTTATGACAAGATCATTCTCAAGACCCACTTTTGTGGGGTACCTGGGTGGCTGTCGTTAAGCATCTGACTCTTGGTTTCAGCTCAGATCATGATCTCAAGGTCGTGGGATCCAACCCTGTGTCCAGCTCTGTGCTGAGCAGAGTCTGCTTCTGATTCTCTCTCCCTCTCCCTCTGCCCCTCCTCCACTCGCACATGCACGTGCTCTAATAAAATCTTAAAAAAAAAAAAAGACCTACTTTTGTGATGAAGGACAAACAGTTCACCAACTGTTCACCGACAGGGGCTGGTGTGCTCACGGCCATGTTGTAGCAGGTGTAACACCCAGATGCACGCACCGCCTCCCCCACTGGCAACATGCAGCGGCAGAGGGGCAGTCATGATGGCCGAAGGACCCTGTAGCCTACCTGAGCGCTCACTCTTGGTGCTGGACGTTCTGGGGGTTTGGACAAATGCCTAACTATGTATCCATCATTATGGTTCACACAGAGTATGTCCACTGCCCTAAACACTCTCTGGGCTCTATTCATAGCCAAAACCCATCCCTGGCAGCCATCTTTTACTGTCTCCATAGTTTGCCTTTTCCAGAATCACAGAGTAAGTAGCTTCTCAGACTGGCTTCTCTCACCTGCTAATACGCATTTAGACTTCCTCTGTGTCTTATTCTGGCTTGACAGCTATTTCTTTTAGAGCTGAATAATATGCCAGGGTCTGGATGCCCCAGAATTTATCCACTCACCTACTTCATTCCCTTAACACCTTATTTTTTGATAGAGTGAACAAGTATCATAAATTACATTTTTGAGTTCAGACGTCCACATTAGCAGGTTTATTTATGATCATATTCATCTATTCTCAGTCTCATAAAACTCTGTTCAAATTTCCCTTCTTGACCTAAGCCAGCGTGACGGGTCAGCAACTTGAAGTTCTTCTGGTAAATGTCAGTGGCCTCCAGTGATGATAGGACACTGGGGCTCTATGTCCCTTCCCTATAACCTCCTGACAAGACCATTAAAATGAAAGTTTCACTCCAAATTCTACCAAATGGACAGTTGTTAGAAGCAGGCCCCAAAGTCATCAGGTCCCCACTCTGTCGTTGGTCCTCTAGATAGATATGTTGTGTGATCAGCTCTCTCCAGGGCTGACTCAGTGACATCGGTGGCTGACATTCCAGCTGGGCCTGAGAGAGGGTCCTGTGGGAAAGAACTAGGATGAGGCAGTTCCTGGCTCTCAGGTAGTGATTACACAGGACGGGGCTCTCTCCTCTCTGAAGCAAATTCTTTCTCATAGCTTTGGGTTTTCACAAGTGTTGGAACACAGATAACTTTTATTAGCATGGTGGCCAATCTACAGAGAACCAACAAGCCAAACCATTGCTAAGTTCTCAGAAAAATTACCTAAATTACCTAATTACCTCCTGCCATTTCATTTTGAAGACTTTATATAAAGAAACCAAATAAAGGATCTGGGATGCTTATTTCTGTTCCATGGACCAAGTACTGGCCTAAATTGTCTATTTCAGAGGCGCATGGGTGGCTGTGTCAGTTAAGGGTCCAACTCTTGACTTTGGCTCAGGTCATGATCTCAGGGCCCTGGGATCGAGCCCTGAGTTGGGCTCCATGCTCAGCAAGGAGTCTGCTTGAGATTCTCTGTCTCCCCCTGCTGCTCTCTCTCTCAAATAAATAACATCTTAAATAAATAGACAGGTAAATAGACTACTCTGTTTCCTGGGCCATCATGCTCTTCCAGCTAGCAGGAGTGCCCCAGGCCCACCTCTCCCAGAACAGATCCAGCTTCAGCAGATGACACTCTTCCTAGGGTGCCTTAGGTGTGGTTTTCGGCAAGCAAACATCAGCATTCCTGCTGGTCAGGAGGTTCCAAAGAGGAAAAAGAGCAGCTGGTCTTAAACGGCCCATCAGCCCTCCCCCAGGCTGTAGCATCTAAAGAGATTGTTTTCCTGCTATGAATCCTCTACATGGTGGACAACAATCGGGAGGTAGATCCCCAGCACACCTGACCACATGGACTTCCACTATGAGAAAAACTCACATCGCACCCGTATGTGGTTAAAGACAAGCTGTATTTGGTGTCAAGCTTTTAAAAAGCACTATTTGACATTAAAAAGTATTCTCCTCTGTATTAATGGCCTCTGTCTTCTGAATTTTCTTCTCGAGGCTTCCTAAACTTTCCTTGTCAGAACGAAGAAATCTGAAAGTCCTATCATGCCATTCTTTCTCGATTCTCTAGATTGAAACAGATAAAGGCACTTATTAGTCATTTCTCAGAGCACACAATACAATTTTTAGGAAATGCAATATAATTTAAAAGTTTTACCTAGAAATTTTTTTTTTACCTAGAAAAATTGATGATTTCTGGTCTCTAATCAGTAATTCTTACCTCCAAAATTAAAGCATTCCATTTTCTTTTACAAAAATGGGCATTTATTTCGAGGTAAAAAAATCAGTACCATATTTATAGGTTCTTCCTGACTGACCACTCAAATTTTAGTCACTACTGAAACAAAAGTATCCTTCTATTGGAAACGTTGGTCCAGGAAAACCAAAGGACTGTCTTGAATCTAGGAAACTTTGGCATTGCCAACAGCGTATTCTGGATTCTTCTTTTTTATCTATAGATTCTTCTTTTGTTTAAGAGATGGGGAACAATTGTACATTTGTCCTGCCAACATCCATGGGTATAAAAATACTGAACTTGAACAATGTTCACTCTCTATGTCAGTGGGGGGATGAGAACTGTCTCGAGGGCTCATATTTGGAACAGGAATTAGTGGTTCTAAACCGTAGTTTACCATAAACAGCAAGTGCCTCTCACAGCCCCGGGGGAATCACGGGGCCGAAGTGTCCCAGAGACCAGACTGCTGGAGGATGATGCCCGGCCCCAGGCCCTGGCTGTCCTGGGCGGGAGGACACCTCTGCAAGTGCGCTTGCTGTCCTCGTCGCGCTGACGGGAAACAGAGGGCCATGGGAGTGTATTTCCTGGTTACGGAAGGGCCATTCACCAAGCAATGGAAGAAACATGAACACTGAGTGGGATTTTCTTTGCACTTGCCTTGTGAACTCATTCTTCATTTCAGGCTGCCACTAACGGCTGCAGAACAAATCTGGCCATGAACGCAGGATGCCAGATCCTCCTGGAAACAGGAAGGGGCCACTCCAACCTTCCAGGGGCTTCCCACACCTCCCGGGCTAGGTCCCTGCAAAGCCACCCCTGCGTCAGCCCCCAGGGCTTCTCCTCGGCCCGGGACCCTGCTTGGGCTGCCCAGCCTGGCCTGTCACCCACGGGCAGACCCTTAGCTCATCGGTGCCTGCACGACCAAGCGACAGTGCAGGGCAATGTCCAGCACCCTTCAGTTGGGACGCATGGGTGGGTGTGAAACACTCTTGGATGAGCAATGAGTGAACGCGTGCATGAAAGCATGAGTGAATCCCGGCATGAATAATTACCAAATAGGCAGGAATCACTCCCACTGGGGAGAGAGGCCTCTTGGCATGTTCACAAAGATGGGTGGGGAGAGGGTGGGAGAGGAAAGTGAGCCGCTGCTCCCAAACGGGGTTACGTGGGGGCATCCGAGCTTTTCCCAGGAGCCCTGAGGGGGCTGTCCCTGGCCAGGGCCACAGCAGCAGGTTATGCACAGGCCTCCCAGCCGGCCCTCCTCTTTTCTCCTCAGCCACTCCTCTAGGGGCTGAGCCATCTCTGCTCGCTCCCGGGCTGCAGGCTGAGCTGGGGAGCTGGAGCCCCCTCTGAAGTCACCATTATCAAGGTCACAAGGTAAGGGACAGCTCCACGGTGGCCACAGTGCCCATCCGACCCTCGCCACCCCCTCGGCCTTCCCAGGCGCCCTCTCTGCCAGGGTCCTCCTCTTCTTCCTGCTCCCTCCTCCCCCGCTCCAAGCCCGGAGCTCCAGCTTCTGCTGCCAGTGCTCCCCTCATCCTGCCACATGGTCGCCCCCCCCCCCGGGATTCCAGCCCGGACCCGGGCTCGCTGGACACCCCCACCACGCCAGGCCACTCCACAGGCCCACCAGCTCACGAGGCCTGCCCCCCACCCCCTGGCCCGGGATGACAGCAGCTCCCACTTGGAGCCCACGCCCCAAGCCCAGCTAGCCCCCCAACCTGGGCAGCCCTTCCTGGCTGGCTCTTGTTGGCACCTCTGCAGAAGCCTCCTTTGTCTGGGTGCCTCCAGGGGTCTTCCCACCAGAACCCACCACCCACTCCCACTGCCGGACAACCGCACTCCCTGAGCCTCTCCACCTCCACCACCTGCAGGGGGCAGGCAGCCCCAGGGTCTCGTCCCCCAACATGGTCCCTGAGCATGGGAGAGATCGCTGTAAGGGGACTTCCCAGAGGGACACCGAGGGCGGGGAAGCTGCCTTATGGGGAGCACCCTCTAGGAGAGGCCTCTCTGAGTAGGGCTGTGGGGCAGCCATGCAAAGGGGCTGGAATGCTCCAAAAGAACAAGCACTGGGGCCCCAAGTGTGTTTGGGGGGCAGGGGGCATGGCCTGCGTGAAAGGCACAGAGACCCGCGTGGCTGGCGCGCAGTGAGCAGAGGATGCATGAGTGCTACCTGGAGGAGCGACACCAGGCAGCGGGGCCCAGACTCTGTCCGGCCCAGAGGCCATGAGGACCAGGGTGGGAAGCTTCTGGGAGGTGACTCGACAGGTGGCTGTAGAGGCTGGAGCCAGGGGCAGCAGGCACGGGGACACAGGGATGGATAGAGGGATGCGGGGGCGGGGGAGCAGGAGTCATCCAGGGTCATCCACACCTCTGTGCCGACCTCTCTGTCCTGAGCTCATGGGGGATGGCAACGCGGTTTACAGAAGGGGGAAACTGAGAATGGAAACATCTGGGAAGGAAGGTGGATTTCTGTGGGGACACTTCCAGCCTGGCGTGTGGGCCAGACGTCCCACTGGAAAGCAGGCGGTTTGACCTCTGAGTCTGGAGCTGGGAAGCAAGGCCAGCTCGGTGACAGGACCAGGGAGCCTGCCAAGGGCTGAGACTCCCAGAGGGGTGGAGGGAGGGAGGGAGACAGGGGTGCACCGGGCTGGGGTGGGGGTGGGGTGTCTCGGAAAGCCCACATGGCTTTGGGATGCTGCAAGATGGGCAGGATCCCAGGAAGAACAGAAGGGGGCACGTTGGATACACATTCAGAGAACAAAGGCTAGGAGTCCCAGCCTCCACCTGTGGGGTCATTGAGAGGCGCCTTCGCCTTCTTCTCTGTCACCTCTAACTTGCTGCAACGTCAAACCAGCTGATACACTGGACTTAAGAGTCGAGAGAAATTCTGGGTAAACTTTTTGTAGAGACAGGTTGCATTTCTCTGACATCTGAAGAGAACCGGACTTTAGTCCACCACTGGCCTGAATCACTCTTGAAGAAAAGTTGCCTCCTGTGGCCTAGCTGCCTTCAGCACCTCCTAGGGACACCTCAGGGACACCCCAGGGACACCTCAGGGACCCCAGGGACACCTTAGGGACAACCAGGGACACCCCAGGGACACATCAGGGACACCGGAGACACCCCAGGGACACATCAGGGACAGCCAGGGACACCAGGGACACACCAGGGATACCTTAGGAAAACCAGGGACACCAGGGACACACCAGGGATACCTCAGGAAAACTAGGGACACCAGGGACACATCAGGGATACCTCAGGGAAACCAGAGACACCTCAGGGACACATCAGGGACACCCCAGGGACATCCCTGGGACACATCAGGGACACACCAGGGATACCTCAGGGACTACCAGGGATAACCAGGGACACTTTAGGGACATCTCAGGGACACGTCAGGGACACCCCAGGGACATGTCAGGGACACCCCAGGGACACATCAGGGACAGGCCAGGGACACGTGAGGGACACATCAGGGACACCCCAGGGACATCCCAGGGACACGTCAGGGGCACCCCAGGGACAACCAGGGACACCTAGGGACACCCCAGGGACACCTCAAGGACATCTGGGGTGCAGTGTATGTGGCTCTCTCCCAGCAGAGACAGGATCACCCAATACAAAGGTACTGGAGAAATGAGAGAGGAAAGACCTTCTCTAGAATCAACACACCCCAAGCCCAGAGAGTGCTGATACTCACAGAGTGTCCTTTAAAGTCGCAAGGTAGGACTCCGTGTCCACTTCATGTACGTCCGAGTCTATTCTGGACAAGTAACGGTAAACATAGGAGAAAGTCTCAAACGGGATGCGCGCAGGCCCGCCCTCAGGGTCGGTGGTGAGGATCTCGCACAGGTGCTTCATCGAACTGTTCAGTGACTAGAAACACCACAAACCAGGTGGGGAAACAGTTACTACCTGGAATCACTAAAATGAAAGCACAAGACAGCAGTGGAATAGACGCTTGAGTGTATTTTACAGAAATTCTCCAAAAAGTATGCTCTCCGTCTAAATTAGGAACTAGGTGAATTTATAATTGCTATTGGTGAAGAAGTAAAAAGGAAAGGTTTGATCAAGATGCATTTGGCCTGAAAAGAATTCTAATCCACAGATTTTATTTTATATTAAAATGGAGGCCCCTGGGTGGCTCAGTTGGTTAAGCGTCTGCCTTCGGCTCAGGTCATGATCCCAGGATCCTGGGATTGAGTCCTACATCAGGCTCTCTGCTCAGTGAGGAGTCTGCTTCTCCCTCTTCCTCCACCCCTCCTCCCTGTCAAGTTCTCTCTCGCTTTCTCTCTCTCTCTCTCAAATAAATAAATAAAATCTTTTTAAGATGGGAATGAGGAAGCATCACTCTCCTTAAAGGTGGGCCCTAAGCCACGGAATGCTCCAGCCCCTTCAGCACCACAACACACGTGGGGACAGACAGAACTAACAGTCACCAAGCAGAGGGGCCACCTGTGGAGGGCAGGTTCTAGGGCCTCGCCTGCTGTCCTAATGCCCCCCTGTGATCAGGCTCTGAGCAGGCTGCACACAGGGCTGGCCCTGCTCTGGGCCTTGACTCTGTTCCAGAAAGAACCAGCCCTTTCTCCCGTGTGCGCTGTGCACCTGGTTCATGCTCCTTCCATCTGGGTTGGTCATTCCACCCGACCCTGGCTTTTGGCCCAAACGCTGGTCCCTGGAGAAGCCGCCCCCATCCTACAGGGTGCACGCTTGGGGCATGCTGGCCCTCCCTCGCGCCAGGAGGGCATAAGGAGCCACTGCCGACATCAAGTGGAGGATGGTGTCACTTTAGCACTAGATTGTACCCAACCCCCGGTGATCTCACAAGAGCCCCCTAGAGCGGCAAGGACCAGGCCAGTAGCTTGAAATGAGGCACGGTGGAAGCATGTGCTCCTCATTTGGGGGCTCAGGCTGCAAGTGAGGACCCTTTGCCTCTGCTGAGAGCAGGCTGCTAACATTTAGGGGCCGCACTGAGGAGGAAAGAGCGAGAACAACACAGGGGGACAGGCACCTACGTGGGGAGAGTCACACACAGACCTGCTTGACAGGGATCCTGACATCCTTAGGGACACACGCCTGGCTGGGGCCACATTTCCTATCTCAACGTGTCTGTGGGTCCAGCATCTGGGCACTGCTACGCTGGGCTGTCCAAGGCTCCAATTGCGGTGCCACCGGCTTGGCCTCATCCAGAGGCTTGCCTGGGGATGGACCTGCTTCCCCGGCCCACACCCTGGCTGACTGGCATCCTTGCGGGGCTGGCCCTCTGTAGACCCCTGATGCGGCCACGCACTTCCTCCAGGCTCCAGCTTGGCCAGCGTCTCGGGAACGTCAGGGAATCCCTCCTGCTTCCGGCAGGGGCAGGGAAAGCACGAAAGGACTCTAATGAAGTCCAGGGGCCCAGAGAATCTGGGGGGCCAGGCCCAGGTAACCCAGCAGGCCTGCACCCCAGTGCCGGAAGAGCCCCAGGGCTGGGGGTCTGGGGGGCTCCAGGCACAGACGGCACAGGCGGGCAGCGAGGAGGCCTGAGCAGCCCCGAGCTCCCCAGCACCCCAGCCGGGCCTTGGCGCACCCAGAAAGCCACTCACCACGCCACCCGGACCCAGGCCATGGCCCGGTCTCACCCTGGGGCAAAATGATGCTCTGACGGGAGAGGTGGCCGAGTCCTGCTGGGCGGGCGCTTTCTCTGCGGCCACAGCCGCGCCCACCCCGCAGGGCCGTCCCTGCCAGGACTCGGGGAAAACAAAGCTGCCCGTTTTACAATCCATGCTCCTTGCTTGCAACTTTCCAGAGACACGTCGATATGTCAGCTTCGCCTTTATGTCGTGGCGGGCGGCAGAGGCTGAGGAAGGAAGGTGCGGAAGGAAGCAGCTGGCGCGCAGCCGGCACAGGAGGCCTGTGAACGCGCCGCACACGCTTCCAGGCCGAGGTACTTACGGGAAGCGGACATGCAACCGGCCCGGTGTCACTGCCTCCTGCAAAGGCACGGTGACGTTACCCGTGTGAACGTGGCTGACAACGGGATGCGTGGCAATTTTTATATCCAAGAGGATTCCTAGAGCAACTTGCCTGGCTCTGTCCCTGGGGGTCTGTCTCCTGGGCACAGACTCCTGGGCCCAGGGGCTTGTGGGCCGACACCCCCTCCTGGGCATGCGCTGCCCTTGGTTCCTGCCAAGCACAGTCCAAGCCCCAGCTGGTGACATCAAGGCAGAGATGTGGGAGGAAAACAGGCCTGCAGCGCCTGTCTCCTGAGCATGTGGGCAGTGCCAGTGCTGTGGGGTCTGTTTCAGAATTTTTGGGGCTCTTATGAGGACACCCAGAGCCACCTCGCACCTCCCCAGATTCCCTTTTAGCTCACCAGGAAGTGGCTATCTGCACGACACACGGAGGGACCCCTCCTTTGCCCAGGAGAAGAGGGGACCTCACTCTGAGTGTGGCCTGACCTGAGGGTGCTCGGGAGATGGAGCTCAGTGCTTCAAGCAGCACTTGAAGCTTGGTCCCACCCCCCAAATTCCACTTTTAAAAAGCTAGAGGTGGGGGCACCTGGGTGGCTCAGTGGATGAGCATTTGCCTTTGGCTCAGGTCGTGATCCTGGGGTCCTGGGATCGAGTCCCACATTGGGCTCCCTGCATGGAGCCTGCTTTTCCCTCTGCCTCTCTGTGTATCATGAATAAATAAAATCTTTTTTTTTTTTTTTAAAGCTGGAGGTCCTTTTCACTTACTTCCTCCCCCTCACGGTTTTTTTCTCATCTAAAGTACAGCTCAGATCGTGGACTCATGGCAGGTGAGGCTGGCAGACAGGTGTTCTCCTGCTGGCCGGGTCGCAGTCGTCTAGAGGAGAATGGAGCACCCCCGTGTGAGCCCAGTGACAGGCCAGTGGAGGCATGGGGGTCAAGTGCACCCGCCTCTCCTCTCTTCTCCCTGGGGGGGGCACCCAGCAGTGGGGTGACTGGTGCTGGGGGGGGGGTGGCGTCCAGGGGCCCAAGAGCAGCTCCCCTGCCTCACGGGGCAGCTATCAAGCAAGCCTGTGACTTGGGGCTCCCACCCATGCAGGGCGATTGGTGCCTTTTCCGGAGCCACAGGGTGAAAGGAATATTGGAGATATACCTGAGATGGGCTTAGAGACCTAGCTGGGAAATCTGAGTGGAGAGCAGGAGGGGTGAGCCGGGTGCTGCCTCTCCCACTGGGCTGCCAGGGCGCCCGGATGATGGTCCAAGATGCCCAGTCCTACACGGGGAAGCACAGCTGTGCTTGGGTGATGGTCTGGGGATTCCCTGGAGAGTGCCACTGGGAGGCTGACATTGAGCGCCTTTCTGAGTAAGAATCCTTCCAGGATCTCAAATGACATCACCGGTAATCCCCAGTGTACTCTCTGGGGCAGGAATCTGCAGGCTCTCTTCTCCCTCGGCATCCGGCCCAGGGGTGGTGCGCTCTTGAGGCCCTCCCTCCTGGGCGCCTCGGAGCCTGGGGTCCGCGTGCAAATCCTGCTCAGCCGCTTCTGGGGCAACTCACTGAGCCGGCAAGGTTCCCAGAACAGGCCCTTCCTGGAGGGCTGCCCGGAGGATCAAGGACCACACAGCCCATGGCGAGGACATTCGATGTGCAGCCCATTCCTAAGTCGTGTGCGTGGACAAACACGGCGCAGCACATGTGCGTATTTGCCTCTGCACATGGGGAGATGTTCTTATGAGGAACCAGATTCAGTGCTTCTTGGGGCCTCACAGAGTCGGGCTGCGGGCTTGTCGTCATGGACCTTCTCAGTCAGGTGCAGGGGGGATGGGGCACTTCCTTCTCAGTTTTTTTAATATAATAAAAAAAGATCTTCACACTTAAAAAACAGAGAAATCTGATCCACGGTTTTAATGCTTAGGATTGTTGCAGGGGCTGCAGCAATGTGAAGGGTCACGACAGACCACACCATCATCCTGCCAGGCCAGTATCGGGCAGCGCTGGAGAACACAGCCCTCCCCACACCCCCTGCCCGGCCAGCCCACGGCGCCCGCCCCCCACCGGCTCCAGGGGTCTGCACACCTGCCTACTGTGCACTCAACAAACATTGGGAAGGAAGGGAGGGAGGAGGAGGGAAGGACGACCCCGAAATGTAAGCAGAGGCTCTGGTCTCTGTAGAGACCTTAAGCTCGGTTCGTCTGACCAGTGATTTGGAGGAGAAGTCTAAGAGCTCAGAGAATGTGTCTGCCAGCAGCCCGCAGAGGCCGGGGATGAAGGAAGCAGAAATAGAGTCTGTTGTATTGACAGAGGAGCAACTAGATTCCAATTCAACAAATGTGGAGGGGCACCTAGGTGGCTCCGTCGGTGAAGCGTCTGCCTTCAGCTCAGGTTGTGATCTCAGGGTCCTGGGATCGAGCCCCACATTGGGCTCCCTGCTCAGTGAAAAGCAGCTTGAGGTTTTCTCTCCCCCTTCGCCCCTCCCTCTTAAGAAAAAAACAAAGATGGATGCTAAAATGCCAAACCACACCAAAACTGTCACCTCGTCACCTCCAAGTCACAGCTCTGTGTGGTTGTTGTACTTCCCAGCTATCCCAGCCAACGTGGGCACACAGTGGCTTCTCCCCATCGGGCCTGGTCGCCCCAGAGCTGTGTGCACTAGGGGCAGGAGTGGCTGGCCAGGAAAGCTGACACCTCCATCCTTCCCCCACCTCTCCGCTTACCCTTCCCCCAATACATACGTGGTCAGTGAACCAGAGGGGACCCTCCCCGCCTGCCTCGCCTCAGAGTCCACCGCCCACAGCAAACACTGTTGAGGTAGCATAGCGAGGGGACAGGCCGGGACCCCACACTGCCCAGCTAGGATGAGAAAGAGAGGAGAAAGGAGAGGCCCTGTGTGATGGCTTCCCTGTCCCTTCCCCTCTGCTCAGTTCCAGGAGGTGACAAATGTCTCCACCTAGTGTCCCACATGGCACATGGACAAGAGACCCCATCTCTTGCTCCAGGCTTGGTTTTCAACCCAGGGCTTACTTTTCATGATTGGGGGGAGTTAAAATTACAGAGATGGATCCCCAAAATACGAAATGTCCTTTCTCACCACTGTTAGAACCTAAATTTCACAGCTATGTTTAAAGGCACAAACCACAATTTCTAATATTAGATATTAATTTTATATTATGAAAACCTTGCTTCCAGAGTTCCAGATGAACAGAGCAACGTGGAATCATTTTCAGTAGGCACATCTGTCTTTGTCCTCCCCACCTACCAGCCCACGCCCCCTGCTACATCTGAGCCCCTCGTAGCTGCAGGAGGGTCCCCGGCACCCATTAGCCCAGGGGGGTGACCTCTCTAGGGCTGGCCAACACCCTGCTTTGGGCCCTTGTGCAGCAACCAGCCCACACCAGGTTCTACTGGGATCTCAGACTCTCTTGCTGGGGCCACTAATAGAACCAGTAAATGGTGGTCTATTCAGAGAGTACATATTACACATCAGGCCACGAATGACCCTCAGTGGTCTGTGATGATGCAGATGGGGAGAGTCAGAAATCTAATTGGGAATGAATACAAGTTCCAGAAGATTACTAATAGCAATGACCTCTTCATAAAGTTAAGACCAATGAAAATTAAATAATGTATTTCTTGGGGGTGTGTACGTGGCCCACAGGAAGCAGATCAGCGGCAGTGGCTGCAGGGGGAGGGATGGAGGAAGAGCACAGGCACCTGGGGCAGTGGTCACGGGGGGGGGGGGGGGGGGGTCATGCGCTCCTCACACAAAGTGACTTCTAAGACTTAGAGTCAGAGATGAGTGTGCACCATGAAGCGAGGACTGTGAATGATCCAGTTACGCTCCAAGCAGCCCAAAGACAAGGCGGGGGGTAAAATGACTGCACTGCCTACCTCTGCAGCAAGGGGAGCCAGGGCTCCTTCCAAAATCCCTTCAAAAAAACAAAACAAAACAAAACAAAACAAAACAAAACAAAACCCTTCTTCATGGGCAGCCCAGGTGGCTCAGCAGTTTAGCACAGCCTTCGGCCCAGGGCGTGATCCTGGAGCCCCGGGATCGAGAGTCCCACGTCAGGGTCCCTGCATGGAGCCTGCTTCTTCCTCTGCCTGTGTCTCTGCCTCTCTCTCTCTCTCTCATAAATAAATAAAATCTTTGGGGGGGGGGGAAGCCCTTCTTCGTGAGTATAGAGTGGTTACGCTCCCTTCCCTGGCGCCTGGCTCCCGTGTCTCACAGAGACTCGGACCTGGAGCTGAAGACAGAGCTTCCAGATCCCCAGAGAAGTCCTGCCGAATCCGCACGCTCCAGTCCCTCCCTGCCCAGCCCTCCTTGGGTAGCAGCCCCCTGTTCCGTGGGGACTGGAGGGTCCTCTGTGTCTTCTTTCCCAAGGGTCACACTCAACATCATCAAGGTGGCACCGTATCTGTTAGCCGCTAACCACATATTTTAACTCAACTATAAAATAATTTTATGCCTCTTCCCATAGATGAGGAAAACATGGTATTATCTGTTTACCAAATGATGTGTAGCTCAATAAAAAGTCATGGATGCATTCTCTTCTAGCACCTACATGCATTCTCATGGTATCCTTATATTTTATCTACTGTTAACAATTTTTAAATGGAAGTATTCCTAAGCCTTTAACTTCTGCAAATTAAAATAACTGTAAGTCTAAAAATACAACAGGCACCTGAAAAAGAATCGCTTCTCTCAGACAAAATTACTAAAGTTATGAAAGTGTTTCCTTCGGTTACTGAAACACCTACCTTATTTTTAACCAGGCCTATGATTACACGGGATTATTCATATGCTACTCATAGGTACGTACCCCACCAAGCATGCTACATCCAAGCGCTAAAAATTTTATCCACTCGATCTTGTCTTCGCAAGGATCCAACTGCAACAGAGCCCTGAAGTTCTCTATTGGCAGGCACAAATTTTTCCATTTCTGCTCAAGATCTGCTAATTCCACATACTGCTTGTGGCTACACTGTATAGAAAACACAGTGGGACAAAATTTATAAGCTTTTAAGTTTGTATTTTTCTTTAAGTTTTAAAAACTTGTGAAATAATATAATGCTTATGAATACCGACACGTGTCCAAGTACTCAACTACATGCAGGGAAAAAGATGAACTCTGGACTCACAACACGGTTACCCTGAGAGAGCAAGGTGGGAAGGGGTGCGGTGGGAGGGCCTGGCCAGGAAGGGGTGGCAGGAAGGGGCAGCAGGGGATGTTTTACTTCTTAGAAGTCAAAAGGCCTGTGATGCAAATATGGCATAATGTCATGACTGAGCAAAAGGAGCATACACGCATTGCATTGGGTAGATGGTTCTCTGCTGTCTGCGCGAAACACTTCACAACAAAAAATGAACTTCAATAAATAAAATAAAAGCATTTAAAATCCAGCCCACTAAACTTGTTAATAGTTAAATGGAAGAAATCTTAAAAATGAAAATAAATGCCTTCCTTCCATTATTTGAAACAATCTGTGAAAATGGGTCACCACTGCGATCTGCTAATGGCAGCGTGCTACGTGAAAAGCTTTGAGCAATTTCAGCATATTTTTTCCCAAGTTACTCCTTCCAATGATCATTTGTGTTCCCTTAAGATAGACAACCATGGAATAATCCTATTTTTCGAAGTCAGTGTGTCCTGCACAGAAGCACTGTACGTCAAAATGTATAACGGGGAAAAAACCACTTTAAAGATCAAGGTTAGAATGCCTGGTTGCTCAGCAGTTGAGCAACTGCCTTTGGCTCAGGTCGTGATCCCAGGATCCTGGGATCGAGTCCCCCATTGGGCTCCCTGCAGGGAGCCTGCTTCTCCCCCTGCCTGTCTCTGCCTCTCTGTGTCTCTCATGAATGAACAAAATCTTAAAAAAAAAAATAAGATCAAGGCTCTACCAACGACGACACTTTTAGCAACACAACCCAATCGTTAGGAAGGCCCCACCTGGCTGGGTGACAGACTCCCTATTAACTTGAGTCTCTACAAGCAAGGTGGCAGGAGAGGGCTGGCCAGGAGGGGCCTCGCCCACGGCCAGGCTCTCTGCAACACCGCACACCAGACGCCAAAGGGCAGTGTGTCCTTCACATGAAGGTGCCGGCAGATTGTTTCTTGAGCACGTATACAATTTTTATTTTATTTACTTATTCATGAGAGACACAGAGAGGCAGAGACACAGGTGGAGGGAGAAGCAGGCTCCCTGCGAGGAGCCCAATGTGGGACTCGATCCCAGGACCCTGGGGTCACGCCCTGGGCTGAAGGCAGACACTCAACACTGAGCCACTCAGGAGTCCTAATCATACTTCAAGAAGAGCCTCATGGCCCCCATTTCCAGAGTGGAACTTTCCTGTGTATGGTCCAGCACCAACTAAGTGTTTTAATTTGGTATTTAAAAGAAGTTCTATTTCACCTGCCTACAATCTAACCATGAATCTGTTTGGGGTTCTTTCCACTGGAGGAAAGCCCCTGAATACAGCAAATCCCTTCCTTGAATGAATCTTGCAGGTTTGTGCAAGGAGAGCAGGCCTAGCAGAGGTGACCCTGCGCATCTGTCACCGTCCGTGCAGCCGCCACGCTTTAACCGTGAAGCTCAGAGCAAACTGAGACCCTCTCCTACCTGCTTGTGCAGGACTTTCAGGAGTCCTTGAGTCAGGCCTGTGTCTGTTTTCTGCGTGGCCATGGGCATCTCGATTCTGTCCTTGACAGGAAGTGGGTCTCCTCTGGACAACGCTGAAAAATACCTAACGGCGACAGATATCTCTGACTGCTCATCCACCCCACAAGACCCTGTGGTTCAGGCAAGCTTCTCACACAAGCCCTGAGGGTGACCGTGCCCGGGGCAACCCCAGGTACACTAGCGTCTGAGGGCTGGGCTTCCGGGCTGGTTCCTCCACTCAGTTCTCCAACTTAACCTCTAGGCGTGCCTCAGTTTCTCTGTCTGCAAAGTTGATAATGGGATTCCCTGTCACTGGGCTCATAGGAGCAGTGAGCTCAAGTTGCAACTGGCCATCGGGGGCTCCCAAAACACACGCAGTTCTTACTAAGCGCATGCCAGGAGGGGACCAGGAAGGCTGGTGGGAAGGCAACGACCCAACTGAAACGTCATGGTCCAGTCATTCTACTTTGACAGTTGGCGTTGGGTCTTCCCTTTGCTTGGCCGTGCTGCTTTCCAAGGGGGTTGACTTCAGCCATCTCTGCTCAAGTCTACAGGCCCGGGACCAGGGAGGTCACCTGTCTGCTCCACCCCTCCCCCACCCTTCACTTTTCCTGTTTTTGTTTTTTGTTTTTGTTTTTTTAGTGATTTTCTTTAGTATTTTTTCCCCTGAATTGTTCCTTTCTGGGATGATGCTGATATTGGCGCTTCTACTGGGGGCCAGTGGGGGTTTGGAAGCAGTTTAGGGCAACAAGTTAGGAGTGGGTGCACACGGGCCTCCCGCTGGTGGGGGGGGGGATGGGGGGAGGGGGGCAGGCATGTCACGCCTGCTGAAGCCTAGTCATCTGCCACTCTGATGACTAACACAAGAAAAAGAAACAATATACTCTGGGAAATGAACAGTAAGTCATCCACCAGGGCCACAGGTCAGAGTAGAAAAAATAGGAGTGATTAGAAACATCTGATCGCGTAACAAAGACAGCTGTAGCTACATGGGTATTTGCTGGGCTCAATGAAATGTTACATGCATCCCCTTTACTCCCTCCACCCATATTTAGTGGACTTAACGGTTGGAGGGGGAGTCAAAACAAGGGCGGCAATGTGGGAGCAAAGGCAGACAGGAAGATCTAAGGTGATGGAGGGGCGCGGGGGCGGGGGGGGGGGGGGAGGAGGCACCGGGGCTCAGTTTTGCCATATTGTTCCTCACTAGGGTTTTCACCTACTCCGAGGACTTTATTCCTCCTCCTCCTCACCGACCAAACCCATCACCCAGCTCACACCCTCTAGAGCAGTGCTTCCCAACAGTCCTCCCACCCACTGCCCCGGGCAACATCTGGAGACCTCTGTGGTTGTCACAAGAGGGGGTGGGTGGTGCTACTGGCCTCTAGCGGGTATAGGTCAGGATGCTGCTCAGGGTCCTACTGCCCAGACACCCGCATACCCCCACACTCCCCAGCCATTATCCTGTCATGGGCTCAACAGGGCCAAGGCTGAGAGTCTGCATGAGGATCAAGCCCCCCTGGTGCTAGTCCCTGGAGGCACATGCGAGCAGAAAGCAGCCTCTAGCACTGGACTAATTCTCACCCCCCCATCACCCTGTGCGGGGCACCCTGCGTGGGGCACCCTGTGTGGGGCACTGGTGACAGAACACAGCCGGTCCCCTGGTGGCCGCGTCACAGCTGGGGGCCAGGCTGACTGACCTGTGCACCTGAAAGCCTCACTTGTGCATCTTCCCCAGCAGGTACCCACCTGTGAATCCTGGTTCTCTGCTTTGTTTTTAGCATTTTTGTTTTTCTTTTTTTATATTGTCTAACCTTTTTTTTTTAATTTTATAAATTAATTTTTATTGGTGTTCAATTTACCAACATACAGAATAACATTTTTGTTTTTCTTTTTGTCACCTCTCCTTTGTTCGTATCTGTTCCTCTCCCCAGAATGCCCTAGCCTTGTCTTAACCTAGCCTTGTCTTAACCTCAAAGAGCAATTCGCCCTCTTCTGAGCAACCTCTTGCCCCAACAGATGCTGTGACAGCTGGGATTCATACAAGCCCATTTCACACGCACCACTTAGTGAATTACGCCTGCTTTTTCTCCTAAGCTCCAAAATTGTTGAGAGAAAATTAGTTGCATGGAACATCCAGAAAGTTCTCAATTATGCCTTTTAAATTAAAGTGAAGCTTAAATTAGAATAATTTAAAGTCCCAAGAAAAAAAGTGATTTAATCTCGGAATGTTCTGTTAAGTACAAATAAATGCTTGTGCGTCCTTTCATTGATGCTTGAATGACGGTTAAAACCAGAGGCCATGATTTTTTTGGGCAAGAACCTTGAGAGGATCTTGCAGAAGCAACTGACAGAAGTGCCTGTCACAAGGTGAAGCACTGGATTAATAAGTAGCCTTGTGTGGTGGGTTCACTAAGGACCCCTAATCCTGGAAGCTGTGCATCTTATTTTGCATGGTGACAGGAACTGTATAGATGTGAGAGAGGATTCTGAGGTAGAAAAGTTATCCTGCATTATCTTGATGGGTCCTAAATGCATCAGCTTTAAAGATGGAGGAAGGGGCCATGAGCCAAAGAACACAAAGAATGCAGCTCCAAAAGCGGGAAAAGGCAAGCAAGCAAGCGATTCGATTCTCCGTAGGGCCTCTGACAATCTGACTTTAGCTAGGTGAAACTCATTTTGGACTTTCAGCCTCCAGAACTATAAGACAATACATGCCTGTTGTTTAATCCATCAAAATCTGTGGTTATTTGTTATAGTGGCCAAAGAAAACTAACTCACCTTGGTTATTTACACCATTTAGAGGTCAGTGAAATCTGACATGCTAGTTACTAAAACATCTAATTTTTATTTTTTATTTTAAAAAAATTTTTTTTAAAATTTATTTATGATAGTCACAGAGAGAGAGAGAGAGAGAGAGAGAGAGAGGCAGAGACATAGGCAGAGGGAGAAGCAGGCTCCATGCACCGGGAGCCCGATGTGGGAATCGATCCCAGGTCTCCAGGATCGCGCCCTGGGCCAAAGGCAGGCGCCAAACCGCTGCGCCACCCAGGGATCCCAGACATCTAATTTTTAAAAAAGATTTTACTTATTTATTTGAGAGAGAGAGAGAGAGTGCATGAACAGGGGGAGGAGCAGAGACAAAGGGAGAAGCAGATTCTGCTGAACAAGCAGCACGACCTGGGGCTGGATCCCAGGCCCCTGAGATCATGACCTGCGCCAAAAGCACACGCTTAACTACTGAACTACTCAGGTGCCCCAAAACATTTAATTTTATAGTGGTTCTTGTAATCATAAAATTGAGTTTCTAAGTCTGTCTACTGAAGAGAGGCAAAGAGCTTTCCTTTCGAAACGGAATGGGTTTACTTTAAAGGTTCTAAGGTCTGTTAACTTTGTAACTTTGAAACTATGACCATTCCTGAAAATAGCTACAATGCTGCAAGAAAGGGTGAAGGCTTATTTGCCTTCTGGGAACTAAGTTGAGCTAAGTTTAACTTTATTGCAGCATTGGGATAAATACCCCAACAAGACCTCAGGGGCTTTGATCTAAGAAACTTAGCGCCCCCTGCAGCCCAGGGCATGATCCTGGAGACCCGGAATCGAGTCCCACGTCGGGCTCCCTGCATGAGCTTGCTTCTCCCTCTGCCTGTGTCTCCGCGCCTCCCCACCGCCCCCGAATAAACTAATTTCTAAAAAATCTTAAAACAAAACAAACAAAAAAACTCAACAGGGTGGGAGGATTCTCCAGAATGAGAAGCTTAGCCTTACAAGAAACCTTGTAAAAACCATTTCACAAATAAAGGGAGTGGAGTAGTCTGATTTTATCACACAGTGCAGAAACTTTTTACCGAAAGCAATTGCTTTTTAAGTTTCGGTCTGAGCAAGTACCAGTCTCCAACAATGGAGCTGTCATGCCTTTGCAGGAAAGGGAGCATTTGGCAGTGATTGCTGGGAAACTCAACCAACTGTGATGCTTCCTAGACAGGTCCTCAGGCGCAGACACCACCCGCGCGTCGCACCAGGGCTGCAGGTGGGAGGGCCGGGGGCACGACCCGGCTCGCAGACCGGCCGGCGGCCACCCGAGGCGCTTACCCCGCGGACCACTGCAGCACATCGGCGGGCTGGGTGCGGATCGCAGCCTTGGTGAACTGCTTCAGGATGTCCGGCAGCTCCGGCGGAATCTGGATCTGCTGCGCGCAGAACATGGTGTCGGGCAGCGGCATCGCTCTCCGCCGACCGGACCAGGCTGCGAAGAATCAAGATGTGCTGCGTGGAGGAGGGCGAACCCGTGAGCCTCGGGCTGCCCTGCCTCCCCCGGATTTGGAGCCCGGCGGGGGGACGGGGGCGGGGGCGGCCAAGAGGCCGGCTTCGCGAGGTCCGGGCGGCCGGCCGGGGGCCTCACCCGCTCCTCCTCGGGCTCCTCGGAAAGTGAGGACCAACCGCCCCTCCCCGCGACCGCCCGAAAGCGCCAGCCGGAGCGATTGTTTCGCGGAGTATCCAGGCAACCGGGACGCCCGCGGGCCCCGCCCCTCGGCTCGGCTCGGGGCAGGCACTGCGCTTGCGCAGTCTGGCTCTGGCCTTTTTTTTTTTTTTTTTTTTTTTTTTGCCTTTCGCTGAACATTTCACTTAGACCATTTGATCGATTTCCCATTGCGATGTGAAGGGAGAATTCACAAAGGACCCCGCCCTCCCCCCCCACCCACCCCCACTCTTTCCCTTGCTCTGGCTACGTGAGGCTTAAGGACTAGGGCGCTCGGTCGTCCTCGGAAGGACGGCGTCACAGCCCGGGGCCGGTCGGTGCAGGGAGCACGAGCGCCCCCGCGCGAAGGAACCTGCCCCCTGCCGTCCTCCCAGGTCTCGCTCATGCTGCACGATGCCCGCCTGCCCCACGTCCAAACCATCTGCACTGCGTCCAAACCGAGCCCGTCCGCCCTCCGGTCCACGCCAAGCCACCGTCTAACACCCTGTCCAAGCCGTCCAGGCTTTATTTTTTTTTTTCGTCCAGGCTTTAGACCTTCACTCGCGCCGTTCTCACTGCCCAGGCCTTCCGATTTAAGAGCCACTTCAAGAGTTTAGACAGTGGGAGATTTTCAGCTCAAGACAATGATTGAGGCTGACTGGGTCTAGAAGGACATAAACTGTCTTCGGATACATTAACTTTGGGTCAAAGGATAGGGGAACTACTCGGTTCTGGTGAATCCTGACCAGGGCAGCATAAAAGGTGTGAATCAGAGCTGTGGCTACCCACCTGCCTTCCCCTGCTCACTTCTAGCCAGAAAGATGGAGACCTAGACCCGGCTATTTCCAGGAGTCGTCAATGACAAACCCTTCCTCCTGCCCTAGAGGTATCACACCCATCCATTACTCCCCTACCAGGGGACACATTTCCAAATTAACGGCACTCTAGCAAAAACTGAAAAGTCACTATTTAGTGTTGATGCAAAATGGAAAAACAAGGAATCTACTACAATGATGACAGGGGTGTTAATTAGTACATTCTGGGGGCCATTTGGCACTGTATTTTGATGACTTAGCAATCTATAGATTTATCCTATAGAAATACTAGCCTGAGTATACAAATATGGACCAAAATGTTTAGTAAAGCACATAATAAAATTGGTAAACTAACTCTTTCAGAACATTTTAAATCATAATCTTAGCCACACAACAGAAAATAATTCAGCCAGAATTTTAAAATAAGATAGCTACTTAGGTATTGACATAAAAAGATGTTCACGAAATATGAAGTGAAAAAAAGCAACTGACAGAGCAGAGTCTGTGTCTACCTGTATTGTGATAACAGGAGTCTGTGAATATACATTTACCTGTTGCACATTCTGGGAGCAAACACTAAACTACTGACTGTGGTTACCTCTGGAGAATGGCACATGGCTTTCAGGTTTTGTTTTTACCATACACACATTATTTTGATTCTGATCCATCCATTCATTTACTCAAGTGTATTTACTGAATGCTAAGTATGTCCTAAGAACTGTTCTGAAATATAGTAATAATCCCAAAATAGTCTTTAAAAAATCTCTTGAGGGATCCCTGGGTGGCGCAGCGGTTTGGCGCCTGCCTTTGGCCCAGGGCGCGATCCTGGAGACCCGGGATCGAATCCCACATCGGGCTCCCGGTGCATGGAGCCTGCTTCTCCCTCTGCCTATGTCTCTGCCTCTCTCTCTCTCTCTCTCTCTCTGTGACTATCATAAATAAATAAATAAATAAATAAATAAATAAATAAATAAATAAATAAATAAATAAATAAATAAAAAATCTCTTGAGGCTTATAATCAAGTGGGGGGAAACATGCAAATATAAATGAGACAGGAAAACCATATGATTTGTTAATACATATGAGAGAGAAAACACAGCAGGAGAAGAGTCAGGAATGCCCCAGTACCTGCAATTTTAGAAAAGCCTAAGACAGTTCAATAAAGAAATGAAGAGCCTGGGGGAGGGCCTAGATGAAGAGCATTAAGGCATACCAAGCAGCAAGTGCAAAGGCCCTGAGGTTTGACCTGTTTTAGAAGCAAGGAAATTGCCTGGAGCACAGTCAGCATGGGGCACCGTAAGGCAGTTGTGAACTTAGGACTCTGAGTGTGATGGTTAGCTGTCTGAGTAGAGGACTACTGTGATCGTAGATCTGTACATGATCACTCTGGATCCTGTGTGGAAAATCAATGGAAGAAAGTCGAGAGAGCATGGGCAGAGGCCAGGAGCTCAGGAGAAACTTCAGTGACCCAGGCCAGAGGAAGATGATGGTGTTTTGCACCAGGATGGTAGAAGTAGAGGTGGTACAACATAGCCAAAACCCGACTCATTTTGAAGACTTGCTGTCCAACTTTATGTGAAGTGTGGGAGCAAAACAAGTGTCAAAAGTTATTACCATTTTTTATTTAGCAACATGAATCCACCCAATTGCTTACCCACAGAAACAGGTAAGTTTGAGAAAATAGATTTGGGGTAGGGGAATCCTGAGTTGTATTTTGGACCCGCTAAGTTGGGAGTTGTCTGGAAGAGTCCACAGAGACAGGTGCACAGAGGTGTCTGCAGTTCCAGGAAGGAAGATGAAATGAATAAGTATGTATGTGAGAGATCAGCATGTAGATGGCCTTTAAAACCACGAGTGAGAGCACCAAGTCAATGGGTGTAGGTAGAACAGAGGTCCCTGAAAGATAAAATAGGGTCAGTGAAGGAGTTTATAAAGGAGAATCCAGACAGGAGAAGAATGAGGGGAGTGCTGTGTCCTGACAACCAGGGAAATAGTTTCACCGGAGAAGGGAACCATTTCAGGTGAGAGCTGAGAATGAACCATGTAATTTAGTGTGGCCATTCTCAACCTTTACAAGAGCAATTCCAGTGGAAAAGTGGCACAAACACCTGATTGCAGCAGGGTTGGAAAAGAGGAGAGGAAAAATTGGAAATAACATAGGTTAACTGTTTCAAGGACTTTGCTGGAAAGGAACATAAAGCAGTTGAAGGAGTTAGTGGGTTCAAGATTTTTATGGAAGAAATGACCCCACAATGCTGACCATGAGGGAGGGAGAGGACTGCAGAGCAGTGCCTTGAGTAGGTGCCTACTGCCATCTATTGAGCCTGTGCCCGGTGGGCCTGGGGGCAGGTTCCACACTGCAGTCTGCATGCATGCTGGAGGGGATGGGCTCAGCCTGCACAGCCTGGTGAGCATATGGGCACAGGTGCAGCTGAGAGAGTAAATGTGATGGTGTGAACTTGTAAAGACTTGTTCTGATTGCTTGTCTTCTCAGTGAAATAGAAATTAAAAAGTCATCAGCCAAAAGTGAGAGAGGAGGCACTCTGCAGAAAGATAAGTATGAAATGATCCCTTAAGGAATATGTATTACTTTTTGAAACCAAGATGTAATTAACATGCAATGAACTGCACAAATTTAAAATGTACAATTTGTTAAGCTTTAACATATGTGTACATGTCAAACCAGAAACACAGGAGATAAGGAACACATCATCCCATGTCTTTATGCCCCTTTGAAATCCCTCCAAGTCCCTCCCCACTGATCTGTAGGTCTGCTTTCACTTGGCATTGAGACCTGTCCATGGTGTATCAAGTTAACTGCTTTTTTTACTGCTGAGCTGTATCTCATTGCATGGATGATCATTTATCTATTTACCTGCTGATGGGCGTGTGGATTGTTTCTAGCCTTGAGCTACTACAAATAAAGCTACTAGGAATGCTCATGAATGAGTCATCACATGGACTTACTTACTGCTTGGTCATTGACTAGAGTGCTAAGTACTTATGGTTAATGTTTTTCAGAACTGCCCAACTATTTCCCAAAGTAGTTAACACCACTTTACCTTCCTTCCAGGAGAGCGTGAGTTCCAGTTCCTCATATCCTCACCAACACATGGTATAGTATTTTTAACTTTAGTCATTCTAACAGATACATGGTGGTAACCAGTGGTTTTAATTTGTATTTTCTAATGGCTAGTTATGTTGAACAGCTAGCTTCTCATATGCCTATTTGCCATCTGTATATCCTCTTTAGTCGTGTCTAAATATTATTTTTAAAAAAGATTTATTTAAAAGCGAGATAGGGAGAGTGCGTGTTCAAGAGAGCAAAAGCGGGGGAGAGGGATAAGCAGACTCCCCGATGAGCAGGGAGCCTGATGAGAGGCTTGATTCCAGGACCCTGGGATGGTGACCTGAGCAAAAGCAGATGCTTAACCAACTGAGTCACGCAGGTGCCACTATTTTGCCCTTTTAAAATGGGCAAATGTAGCTTAAATTACTGAGTTTTGAGACTTATCTATTCTGAACGCATGTCTATTATCAGAAATGTTCTGCAAATAATTCCTGCCGTTCTGTGGCTTTTTTTGTTGTTGTTCTCTAAACAATATAGATCAAAGAGCAGACATTTTCAAGTTTGGTCATGTCCAGTTTATCAAGTTTTTCTTCTATGGATTGTGCTTTTGTGTTGTCTAATCTAAATCTTTGCTTCCCAAGACAACATTTTCCCCTTTGTTTTCTTCTAGAAGTTATATAGTTTTAGGTTTCATGTTTAGGAATATAATCCATTTTAGGACACCTGGGTGGCTCAGAGGTTGAAGGTCTGCTCAGGCCATGCATGTTCCAGGGATCCAGGATTGAGTCCCGCACCAGGCTCCCTGCAAGGAGCCTGCTTCTTCCTCTGCCTATGTCGCTGCCTCTCTGTTTCTCATGAATATATATAGTGTGTTTTTCTTTAAAGGAGTATAATCCATTTTGTTAATTTTTGCTTATGTTGAGATATGGACCAATTTTAATTTTGCATTTGGATGTCCAATTATTCCAGCACCATTGTGACTTTCATACCTTTGTCAAAATCAACTGTCCATATACATGTGGGCCTATTTCTGGACTCTATTCTGCTCCATTAGTTCAATGGATTTGTACAACCAGAAGAGATTGATACAACT